GGGGAGTTATAAACAGGGTGTCTAGTATTTTTTAATTTTGAAAAATCCTGATATTTTCCTGATATTTTAAAAAAAAAATTGATTTTTTCATTTTGAAAATTCCTGATAGTTTCCTGATTTTTCTCGACTCCTGGCACGGTAGGCAAAAAGCAGTAAGACTTTCTCTACTGAGAAGATTCGCGTAAGAAAAATTCCTGACAAAACGTCCGATTTTTCCGATTTTCCTGTTTTTTCCCTAATCGGCCAAAATTCCTGATATTGTCCGGTTTTTCCTGATGCTAGACACCCTGAAATAAATTAATTTGAAGAAATTTACTGACTCGACGAATATTTTCCCTGATTTGGAATCCTTTCATCCATAAAAACGTATTTATGGGCCGCGGATTCGAACCACATCACGGATTGATCGAATCGCGGATAACTAAATCGCGGAAACCGAGATCGCGGATAATCGAACAACAACCTGCACGTAACTGAGCCTGCATGATACTTTTGATGAAGACAGGGAAATTGGGCCTTACGAGGGGAAGGGAGAGGATAGATATCACGGATTGATCGAATCGCAGATAACTAAATCGCGGAAACCGAGATCGCGGATAATCGAACAACAACCTACACGTAACTGAGCCTGCATGATACTTTTGATGAAGACAGGCGAATTGGGCCTTACGAGGGGAAGGAAGAGGATAGAATTACAATACTGCTGCTCAGCGCTGAGCGGCATTAATGCTAAGTAATTTGATTTCGCTCTGCGCAAAAATTTCCTGGATTTCTTCTTTTTTTGGCTTTTCAAAGTAAGAGAGTGACCAATGTCAAATTTGAGAAAAATGCAATTCAATTTAGTTAAGACTGATGCCACACTTAAAAAGATCACGTCTGATGCTTGTAACATCAATAATTGAGAATTTGCAGGGGTTTGAAATCAAAGAATTTCATTTAAAAAATAGGAACTACTATATGAACTGGGCAAGAGAAAATACTCAATGTTAAAATCGAGCGATCATATGTAGGAGGCTGAGGTACGGCAGAATGATCTAATTTGCCGAGATGTATGTGTGTAAATTCAAAATGCTGCCCTACGACATCACAAGAAGGTGCATGTTCTTATTTAAAAATCTTTTTTTCTCTATCTCCTGAGACAGAGAAAAATTGAAGAACATACCTACTGTGAACTTAGCTCCGCAAACACTTGCTTATGAAGAAATGAAATACCCCCATGCCGATACTCCACTAAGTATGAGAATACGACTGTCCTTGAGGAAAGGATCCACCCGCAAACACAAGGTTAAGTGACAGATAAAATAATGAGAGACAAGAACACCTAAAAATGACGATCAAACCGAAGTTAGAGCAATTTGATGTTCGCACTTCAAAAAATTGTATGTCAAATCCAGGCTTCATACATAAGTCTCTCGTCAGATAAGTTGGTTAACTTTTGGTTTCGAGGTGACTGAGTTCAACCGAGTTGCCCTCATCCAACAACAATCGAGGTTGACCGGAAACGTTGATGTTGGTGTATACAAATGAGTAATTCCAGAGGCAATTGCTGAAATCTTGTTTCTCACTCGCACATTACCATGATGCCCTTTGAGCCCATGAGTATGACAAAAACAGGCGAGGCAAGCTAAATGTCTTCATTACGCTTGCAGATCCAAACGGTGGCTAGGTAATGAGCGAGTGAGAAACCAGATGTCACAGCATGCCACTACGTATATCAGTCTGCCCCTCCAGTAGGCTCTCGATAAGTCAATCTCCTCGTTTCATGTATCTCTTGGTTGCTACATACTAATAAAACTGAAGGTCATTGTCCATCACTTTGAGCGAAATTGAACACGGCAGCAATCTTGCAATAATGTATGTTGGACAACAAAGGACCATCATCATGAATCATCCAGCCAAGCAGGGTACTATTCTGGAATTTTATTACTTAATTTTTGGATCGATAACTCCTGCTTTGACCCTGATCATCGGCATGAAACTTAGATTAGTGCACCAACTTGCCAGACTTGGTATACATTGATACAACTCGAAGCGCCAGCCTGATCTGACCGACACAACATGGTCATGAAAATGGCTGGAGAGGAGAGCGAATTAATCTTTCATACTCACTTTTGTGAACTAGTCTGAGTGGATGGCGATGAAATTACAGAGAAGTATGAAAATAAGGTATGGAAGATAATTGCGTGAGGCAGTTGGGCGTGTGGAGGTGATCCTCATCGGTGAAAGAGTACCCACCGGACATGCTGACTCCCCCCATCGTAAAATACTATTTAGGGCGTAAAGATTGAACTCCGACTTATACTTAACAAAACCTCGTATAAAGTCACGCAAAAGATCACTTTAAAGAGCCTGAACGCAACACGAGACACCCAGCTAGCCATTTTCGAGAGCAACTGATAAGGCGAAGCAAATCCTTATGTAACTGAGAAGAAATGCTTAGTACGTACCTCGTTTCTTGACGTACAGCCTTCCCTTTGGAATGATGGACTCCTTGACGGCACTAACAATCTTCGGGCTCGACATTTTGGCAGTAAAATTTAATGATTATTGTCACACGAAATTACAAAGGTAACGTCCGCGGGAATTCTGATTCTGAGAAGCATGGACGGGTAGGGGTAGGGTAATCACAATGATCGACGGGTCGATTTCCCGCCATCCTTCCAGCTGATTTTTGCGAGTGTGCGAATTAGTCAACACAAAATTTACCGGGCTACACATTTGAAGATCAAAACGAAATAATGATAACGCATAAAATTTACAAAACTCTACTGATAAAAGATAGAGAGCAATCGCAGCTCTTCATCTGAAAGAAGTTTAATGTACTAATGTAAAAAATCACTGATAACAGTGATAACAAACAGTGTTTATCATGGTCCAACAGTGATTGCTGCACATGCCGCGCCGCGAAAGAATTTCTGGACTTTGTGTAATTCAAATAAAATATATATTTATTTTGAGTTTAATAACTGGATTAATTGATTTATTACAGATTAAACCTTTATCACTCACTAACCGTAGCTGTAAGACCCCAAATTAAACCATAGAATGCTGTTTTTTTGGGTTCCTTCGTACTCCGAGAGCGCCACTTTGCTAGTGGACAGTGTGAACTCACCTTATCATCCGCTCCGCACAACTTCAACTTCCCTTCCGTGTTTTGTTTGACTGTTTGTGTGAAGTTTCCACGCGTGACCGTCGCGCAGCTATATTTACATCATGATAAATTTGCCCTTAAAAAATATTGATTCCTATTGGAAGTCAGTATCCAGAGGGATTCCACGTCAGACTTAAAATTTCTTTGGGGATGATGAAATAATTTTGAATAAATAATGGTATAAACAAGGAAGACGATGAGTGCGCAAGTCATGCGCTCCTGTTGATGAAATCTATCGTCAGTGTGTATCCGGCTTTCCCCCCCATTGGCGCTTGTCGCTTCTCGTTTTCGTATCAGCAAACTCATTTCTTTTTTGTGTAACTAATCTCTGAAATGTAATAAGTTTAAAATGGAAACCATCGCGGCAGTTTATTTATTTTTATTCGTAACCCTAGAGTTGTTTTTAGTCAAATCTCAAGTTTTTTCATCATCGGAGAATCATGGTGAGTGGCTGTTTTGTTGTTAGATAGCTGCCTCAGACTCCATCAATATGAAGGATAATTTTCCCTCCTTGCACCGATATTCTCTTCCGTTTTGCATCTCATCGCCCTCACAATGTCATTTTCCGTCGATAATTTTTGAAGAAGTCTGGAATAGGTGCAAGGACATCTTTTGCTGCATTATTTATGTCCTCCTGTTATATTTATTGCTTCAGTCATTGTATATTTACCATGGTCAAACATGGTTGCAACTCGCTCACCATCTCCAATCCACCCACTATTTGTGATGGCAATTAGCACATCAATATTTTCTGCAAATCAATTTGCTATCTTTTTCATTTCCATCAATTTTTCCGACTCATGAAGTTGCTTATTGGAGATCAGACAGGTCGCAGAGTAATGTGAGGTTAAGTTCCATCAATGACGATTTTGGTCATTATCACATCAAATTTTACCCAAATATCGTAGGAAGCTCTCTTGCAAACACCAATTTGGATAACATTCTTGACAGAGAGCTAAGATTCCAATGAAATTTCATCACTCTCAGTTTGTTTACATGTATTGATTTCCTTGTCTGTTTACGTTCAACAAGTTCCCAGTCGTAAGCTTCGTTGAACTTCTCACAAAAGCATGCAGTAAATGTAATCTTTGCCTTAAATAGTGGATCACATGTTATTTTATTTTGGGCTGATCAAGTAATAGGTAGAAATCACTGGATACCTTGAAATGTCAGCATGTTGGTTGTATTCCAACTGTTCAGTATAAACAAGATCACGTGTGTTGAATGCCAAAGAGCTCTTTTTAAGGGAATTCTTAAAACATGCTTCTCAATGGTACAATGCTTTCGGCGTCAATCATACTAATCTTTGGCGTAATGCAACTCCGCATCTTCTTTGGTCGAAGTTGTTGACAAGGCATTTTATGTACTCCAGTGCATCCATGGCCAAGCATGGCTGAAGTGTGAAACCGCGTATTTCGTTGGCGATGCAACAGACTTCCTTTTATACTGTATTTCTGTTTTGCAAAACTAGTCAACATAATTTCGTGAAAACCTCCTTAAAGTCTCTTCTCTGTCAGCAGAATATTCTGTATAAATTTCAAGTCATAAAGTCGGCTTGTTTCTTTTCAAAAAAATTAAATAGATCCGTGTGGAAATTTTGAAACACTGCAATGGAGGTAAATGGTTTTGCACCTTGGCCATCGACATCAAACTTTAACTGGCATCAAAACCTCTTGGTATTTTGTGTGATGTCCTATTTTAAAGAGTCAACATCGGTGCTAATCTACCGGAAACCTTGCATGAACATTTCTGGCCCAACAGTTGTACGATGTTGCAACCAACTCCAGTCCTCTTTTTTTACTTATCTCTCATCAGTGCTCATAAATTCATACTGATCTAAACCCAAAATATTGTATGCCCATTGTCAGGAAAAGAAAAATATCAATGAGCCAAATTTTTCTTTTAATTTTTCTCTCTTTTCTATTTACTAATCAGATTCTTTAGAAGATTCCTTGTCAAATTCCCTACCTGGTAATCTGAGCTACGCAGTCTCAAGCAGGGCACTTCTGGGGCTTTGACAAAAATGTTGAACTTTGTTAGACTGCTCACAGAAAGTTTTCAGGTAGACTTTTCAAAGTACAAAAAAAATAATACTAATTATTTTTATTTTTTACAGATTTTAATAATGATCTGGACGTCAAAGTTCTGGTCAATGGAATTCCTGTCATCATACCAAAGGTATGTTATATCTCAAACAATCAACATGTCCATTAGCTGTGATATGCTTAAATCAGGTAACGTATGATTAGGTAAATAATTTATGGTGTGAAAAATGCTCTCTCATCTCTCTAGGTATTTTCCAAACATTCATGCAGGATTTTTATATATTTTTAAATTATCTGGTATCCTTTTACCGTAAATAATATCACATTGATACGAGAAAAGATAAAAGAAATGGATTAAATAACTTGTATGAATCAATTTATAGAAGAACCATTCTAAGATACGTAGGAGTAATGAAGTCCCAACAGTGCAATGCTGATGCATCAACTTCCTTCCTTCAAAAAAGTAATGTTTCTGTAATTTTAATTGTAATTTCCTTCATAAATCAGATGAAATCTCATTCTGACTTTCACACGGTAAGTATGAACATTCCTTATGAACATGCCTAATGCCTCTCAAGTTTACCTCTTGCATTGTTCCTAATGATCTTTTGTTTTTTTTATTTTTAGGAATTCTCTGCTTCCTCTCAAGACAGGTAAATGATACTTTTAATTTTCTATTTTAGTAATCCCTTAGAAATATTTTAATTTTTCTTAGTGTAAAAATAAGGGGCAAAATGTACCTGTAAGTATGAACTTCACAATTGAAAAATATTTTATATCTTGCAATCAGTCTAAAAAGCATGAAGTAATGTCCTTATTCTGGAAAATACAGACTTATCAAAAAGTAGGAAGAGTCACCGGGGCTCTGCAAGAAACTTGTGTTTTTCATATTGATTCATTAGAGAATACCCAACTATGCACTAACAAGTGCCACCCTTCCCATTTTCAGAACCTGTTTTTAGGGTCTTCCCATCATCGCAAGCAAGAATATTTCGCACCCCTACTCTCTCTTTTCATTGTTTACTCCCTTCTCTCCTACTCCATTACTTTATGCTCATTAAAACACTTGTGTCTCATGCACGATTTTTTTTTTCTTCTCTAGACTGAAAGACTCGGGAACAGATGCAGCCCTTGCATCCAGCATTCAATTTCAGCCACCTTCACTAGATTTCAAAGAAAGGTGAGACAGATTTATTCATCCTCTTTATCATCTTTAATATTTGATCTAATAATTAAGTTTCCTAAGCTAAAAAAAAAAAAAGAAAGAAAAAATAATTAATGAACATACTGCAATGCAAGTACATAATCACCTTGATTCTTGCTTCATTGTATCCCTTAAAAAGTGATACAAGCTCAATTTCGGATTTAGTGGTATTCAAGTTACTTTTCTTATGGGCCACCTGTTCAGTTCATGAGAATAGTGGACCTTGGCACAAGGTATGCAGATGCACTCAACTCATGAAGATCGTATTGAGAGTGGGTTTCCATGGTCTGTCAGACGGTCTATTGGACTATCTTCTAGATTCTTTAAGATAGTAAAGCAGGCAGTGCCACCAACCTGGCCTCGCTTTAGAGCGCAACAGCTGTCTGCTTGGGAAACGCAAAATTGAAGGGATTTTAGATCGGTAGAACTGCTGTTCAACTGAAGGGAGAATGGACTCTATAAGTATTCTTCAAAAATTATTATTTATAATAATTGAAGAACTATAATATCGGTATTCTAAGTTGCTTTGTTGCGAATCATGTGTACTTTTTCTCCAACCTTTGAGATTTTAAAACACTAATTTGTCTTGCAACTTAGGATGAAGTTGAATCCTCATTTTTTAACCCTGTGAATCATCTCCATTTTGATATATAGGTATTAGATATTTATTATTCATAATACCATCGCCAAAGAACTGGAATATTGGTCTCTATATCAATCATGAAGGTATTTTTATACACAAAGACAGTCTATAAAACCTTAAAATAAGTTGGAAATCAAGTTATATCAATTGTACTCAAAATGTATTTCCAAAACTTAGGATACCACGAAGAGCCATAAGTAATTCTAACTCCACTTTTACTGCGGCAAAATTGCAGAGGTAGTTTCAATTTTATTTAAAAGCTACTTTGTGCCAGCAGATTCTATTTTAATGCAACCATTTCAAAGAAAACCGGTCTTTGTCTATCAAATCAAAGACACTGTTGTGAAACATTTCTTTTAACTTATTTGTTGCAGGCATTTAGGAATTCCTCATCATGAGAAAGTAACAATCATTAACTTAAGTCCAAATAAAACCATCAGAATGTCTTCTATATCAGGAAGCACTGTTCATTTTCATAGTTCCTTTTTTGAAGATAAGGTAAGAACTAAGCACTGTTTGCTGAATTAATTATTTGTTCATGGAAAAAGGGACCCTATTTCTGGAGGTTTATGTTTGTCAAGTCTGGCCCATAAATGCAAAGTTGAGTTTTTGTAAAGAATACTCTAGTATCCCAAAGAATATGTTGCCACACTGCAGTTAAGAGCTCATTCTTGTGTCAATACAGAGTGTTTAATGAATGCCTTCTGATAGAGAATTTGGTAGCCTTAAACATGGAAAATCCAATATTTAAATAATTCCATCTCATATCTACATATCTTAAGCTGCAGACATCTCTCATTCCCAACTACAATTAGGCTTGCAATTTTTGGGCATGGCGTATGTAAACATTTTGATAAAAAAATTCCTTTAGCAGTGATACCAAAGTCTCAATTCTTTCACACCACTTTGGTACAAAGGTCTCTTTTCTCACAAACAGTCGTATTCTTCTAAGGCAAGGGGGTAATTTAAATTACATTACCCATTCAAAATTTTCATTTCTCTCCTGAAGTACTATAAGCTTGCAGTGGTTGCTTGGGCATAATCATGTTTCCAAGTTATATTACCCTGCCCAGTATCCAGAGAAGAACCAACTGGTTGACTCGGTCTTAAAGAAGCAGAAAGAGTTTTTCTTCTTACTGTCATTCACTTGTGTGCTGGATGAAATTAATGAATTTTTTTTTTTTTTTAAATTTTTTGAATCTTAAATTATTTCCTAAAATTGTAAAAATTACTTATTTAGGAACTTAGATCTCAGAGTGAGTCCATAGCTGAAATGCGCCACACATGGAGGTTGCAAACGAAATTTACAAATAAAACATTCAAATTTCACCAAATTTAGTCAGGAATTTTTTATTTATCGATTGTTTTTATTTGTTCATCATCTTGAGTAAACTTTAGTGGACAAACGTGTCACTGATCCAAATATTTTTGACCCAAATACTTCGTAACTATAGAGGAAAATAAAATTCAAAGGACTGCACACGGAATATGAAGAAATTTTGGTGCCGACTAAATCTTAATATTATCTTAAATGATGTTCTGTATGGCCTCCTTAGCATAATGCGTCTTTAAAATAAAACTTTCTAAGAGCCAATCTCAACAAAGGCGGAACTAAAAAAATAATTTTTTAGTATTTTCATACGCAATATCTAGTCGAAATATTGCAGCATCTCATTGGTGATGTAGAAGAGCTTTAGTTTCCTTTCAAACAAGGAAGATTAAGCAGACAAAAATAATTCAATTCCTTAGAATAATAACAATGCGCAGTGCAGAGTTAACATGAATACAACAACACTCCCTCATCTTAATAAGAAGACGAGAGTAAGAAAGATAGGCATTTCACTTTTCAGTAGGTTTTCCTAGACTTTGGCATGTTAGAAGTTTGATTTTAAAAGATCATTTTGCTCCGGAAATAGTAAAGATTATAATAGAAAGTAATATCAACATTTAGTAGGTGCCAAATTTCTTGGTGTTGCGTGCCAGGTCTCTAACATCTGTAAGTCGAAATTTTTTGTTCCTTTAGAATTTCAGCTCTCAAAAAACGTCATGTGAAAGAGTTCACAGCCTCCCTAAGGTAAAATTCTGCGGCAAGTCAGTGATGACCTTTTATTTATTCTAATTAATAAACTTTTGAACATGTGTTTTTTCTTCTTCCTAGCTGATACCTCCCCTTGGAAATACGACGTTCAACGTTGTATTTTTAGGACGAGAAGAAGGAGAGGTCGAAAGCTCTCTGTTCATCCACACTTCCATCGGGAGTCTTAAATATCAGGTAATTTTAATTTTGATATTTTTCAGCTTTCTTCTCCTTTATGATTATTTTGTTTGTCAGTGTTTTTTTTCTTTCTATCTCTCTTTCTTTCTTTCTTTCTTTCTTCCTTTTTTCCTTCTGTCTTGAATGCTCGGTTTTTTTTTATTTTTTTCATCAAGCCTTTTAACTAAAAAAATAGTACGAGTGAGAAATTCTTAAATAAACTGCTTTAAAAGTAAGCGAAATGTATATTTAATTATTATCAAAGTGGCATTATGTTTCCTTTATTTTTGATAAGGTAGAAAAGAAAGTATAATTTGTTATGCAAGGGTGTGTTTGCATGGCGTTGCTCAAAATTAACATATCAACTAATGATGAATAAGAAAATAATTTTTTTTTTTAAAGAAACCTGGTTGTTAGAGAACATTGAATTGTGATGAAAAATCGGCGATCATTTTAACATTCATCTGGCACATGTTGACATTGGAAAATATCCCTTAGTTTAAGCCTCACATAATTCAACTCTCACAGCAGCATTAATAGAAATACATTCCAAACTGCGGGCTCTTGGTGTATTCAATAATCCGTGTGAATTTATATCAAGTAGGGACAAAAGTATGACTCAATAACCTCTTCTATAAATTTCTAACATGTATTTAATAATTGTCAATGTGCTTTTTATAGTTGCATTCATTATATTTTTACTTCTTAAAGGGTTGAAACAACAATATTAAAAGCCTACCCCTTATGAAGAGCTTTTTGAGCTCGTAATAAAAACTGCCATTTCTCGAGGGTCATTTTTGTATTGTTGGTTCTCAGACCTTATTGTCATCATGGATTATAAACGAACTTGACTCATTTGATCACATAAAAAGATCTAATCGTGTGTCTTGTGCTTATTATTCTCAAAAGACAACTCTTTTAGTCAATAATATCAGAAGGTATCAGAAATAGCTTAGTTTAATGATTTGTTAACTCAAACGTTGAAGCACCAAACGTACAAGTAAAAGTGAAGAACACTTACCTCTGAAAGTTTTTTATTTTGCATGCATATCATAGAAATGTAGGTGACCTAGAATTACATCTGTTCCCTTATACCATTTATTGAAATGTAGTGTCAGTGTCATTGAAAGGAGATTCTTGTAAATATTATGGATTAAGCTATGTCCTCCTTTTATTCTGTTTTTCTTTCATTACCATTGACATTTTCAAGTTTTCCCTTCATCACCAATCAGTTTCCCCCAAAATTTTGAAGTTGCATGATAAAGGGCAACTAGTAGCCCAACCCTGACCTCTTTTTTCAAATGAATCAATTGCTTTTTAGTTTGCCGTATAAGATACAGAGCATGCCTTGCTTTTTTATGAAATAAGTATCAGGTCTCACTAAAGAGGACATTTTTAACTTGAAAATGCAAGTAAAACGGTTTTTATGGTGGGCATCGATGATTAAATCCTTCATTTCCTTGTTTACAAAGGCTCCAAATGTCTACCCCGAATTTTCATAAGCTTATCAATTTGCATTTTCAAGTTTGAATATTTGTAAGTATTTTTTGAAGATTTAAAGTAAAATTTATTCTGAGTATCTGGAAAATAAGTGTTTCTTTTCATTCTTAAAAAAAGAAAAAAGCGCCCAGAAATTGATGAAGTTGTATATAAAGATTTATATTTTCCTTGTTTTTCAGTTGTTAAGTTCTGTTAGAATACCTCAGGGAATGTTGCTTCATTTGAAGCTTGAAAATGAAGGAGTTAAAAAAAAGTAGGCCTCTCTAAAGTATCATTCGCCTCCCCTTTTCTGAATATCTACTCATTCACCTTCTTGTTTACCTATCTAATTTTGAGCCACTCAAATGGAAAAGTAAGGCCTTCTTTAGAAAATTGATGGTAAATATCAGAGGACACAAGTAACTTGAGGTGAACACAATGAATTCAGAAAAGTTTTGCATCCTCTCCGTATTTTCTTACAGTTTAAATTATTGGATTTTGAATGTAATATCAGCAAACTTCTTTAAATTTGAAACGGAGGACTCAAAATTGAATATTTCTTTTGGTTTGAGTTCATATGTGGTAACTGTTTTTATACAAGAGAAACTTTTTAAAATGAACTTTGTGTGATTGAACTCTCGAAACTGTGACTGTCATTTCATGGGAACTCATCACGCACTCTTCTAACATTTTTTTATTTTTTTTTTGCTCTAGTTTATCGCAAAATATGATGCTAAAAAAAAATGTGAAAAAAATTGAGCAAAGTGAGGCTGCATCATTTTTTCTCCTCTTCTAACTTTGGCCTTGAACAAGGCAAAAAAGGAAATTGAAGCTACGTGCTCCTCCAAAAAAATACTGAAACATGCCCAAGCCTCTCATGCCTATGATGTCATTCCACAACCTTACAGTGACACTTGCCATCATTATCCCCATTGCATCAGAACACGCCACACTTAATTTTATCATTCAATACATTCAATAAATCTTTAATCTGTGTAGTGGCCAGTTCTTTTTTTACCAAATTATCATGTTGGTGTTGTTGATGCTGGTTTCTCTGCTACAGGTCATTATTTTTCATTTTAATTTGAAGATTTAATTTTCTTTCTCTGTTCTCTTTGTTCCTCCTCTTGTGTTATTTCAATTGGCTGGTACCCAAGGTATGGATTGAAGCACTGTCTAGTATGTTCACATTCCAGAATGCCACAAAGTGTGCATAATGTATATAGTTTGGAGAGAAAAAATGTGGAAAATAGAAAATCTTTTTTATAATTGAGATGAATGTAATACAATTGTGTAAGCAATTGTGATTTCTTGAAATTTATTACCTGATCGAAGTGTAAACTTTCACAGTGAACATTGATCAAATACTATTTTAAAATACCCCAAAATTAATTATCTCATCCGTTTTTTCCCTCTGTTTGCTTAGCTTTAGTATTAGTCTCTAATATCTATACAAGAAATTAATTTTTTAACTTTTCAACCAGTATCCTTTTTGTATTCTAAATTTTTAAAGATGAAATGTGCTTTAATTCACACCTCAGGGGCCACTCATTAAATACACAGAACTGAATTTCAGATCTTTCGACCCCCCTCACCCTCTCATAGTGCTTTTCTGACGTAGGGCCCTATCCCGTAACACACTGAAACAAAATGGTGCATCACTCTCCTCAGCCCTCCTCCCTTTAGTTTCACATATTTTATGGACGGTTCCTTACTTACTTATTCATGTAGGAATAATCCACCATCATTGTTTTCATGTCTTCAATTGACTTCATTAAATTGCATCAAGATAAGGAAAGAGAAAGAAAGAAAGTAGGGGAAAGGGAAGAAGGAAGCAATCAGTCTTTACTATTTGTAAACCTAATTTTAGGCTTTGCTTATTGTTAGCATATTTGACTCTTATTTGCCTTCCTTCTGTTTTTGCTAATTCGGTTGGAATGACTCATACTTTCAACTAGTTGGAAAATGTGACTTGAACATGGAGTTGACAGCAGTCAATAGATTCCCCTATTTTCCTCCTCATTACCTAGTGATCAATACCACCAGAAAAACAGCTAAATTTTCACCTGCTTAACATACTTTTGTACCATCTACCACTACTATTTGTTGACATAAATAAGGGAATTAGTCGAGGATGCAAGAAGGTGCATAACTTGTTTATTGAATTTATGTATTTATTTTTTACTGTCCTCTGGAAAAAGGGTCTTAGTGCATCGAGACAGATTTTTTTTAAGAGAGCAGTTTTTGTTGAATTTCGTCCAAAACAGCAGTTTAGCGTTGTGGATTATCGAAGTCTTCATTCATACTATGATCTAATGTTCTTTTGTGTTTCTGTTCCACCAGGTACGAGGCATTAGTATTCAAAGCCCCTACCGACTGCGGCCATTGTCAGGGATCCGCCTTCCTCTCAATGCATCTTTCAGTCCCTTAATTAATCTTCATAATCCATTTTCAACACCAATTCAGGTTTGTAGCTTTTATTTACCCAATAGGGGGCAATGCCCCATGGCCGCTACGCGGCCCAACCCTCTGAGGGCGCTTCGCTGACCTCTTGTGGGTTAATCTAGCATGAAGTAAGACAAAGCTCTAAAAAGACAATCAATTGGTGACCCTATTAATGATTGTAGGGGCAAAGCAGTTCATTCTTTTTCGGTAATTTCTATGGAAAGAGAAGAAATATTTAAAGAAATGGTATTATGAGCTCAGAATTATCAAGGAAGTCAATAATAATGATATTTTACCATAATAAAGAAAACAGTTTTGTAAAAAGTACATCACGAATCTTGGAATAAATAATTGGAATCACTGAATAAGTAAACGAAAGCAGAAATTAAAGAGAAAATTAATTGAGAGCACAGATAAATTGACCTGCAATGGTCGGAAGAGAAAGTGACCTTAAGGTGGAATGGAAATCACCAAAAAAACCGGAAGGAAAAATGGGGGTGGAGTAAGAGGAAGGAATAATGGATTGAGTGGGTGCAAAATGCGCAGTTAGGGCATGCAAGAATCAATGGGAATGTTTCCATTTGAATCCATCGTCATGATTAATCTTCATATTATTCAACATAGTGCTCATTATTTTTACGCCAGTTTTATTGAAAAGGGTTTCCTGGTGGTCCACAAAATCCGGAAAGCCAGGGAATTCACTGTGACTTGGAAAAGTCAAGGACTTCTATGAGAAGTGTGTTGGATCAACAACTTTAGTACTAACTAATTCCATTTAAGGGAGAGCAAACAGAGAGAGTGCCTTTTTCTGTAAATTGAATCTCTGCAATTGGAAATTTCATCCGAAGTTGAACAAAAGTCAGCACAATTGTTCAACAAAAAGAAAAAAAAGCCTGTGGAAGTTTCGTTCAAAGGTCAGGGAAAGTCAAGTAAAGGCAGGGAATTCGACAATTTTTGAGTCAGGGAATCGGATCATGGAGAAAGCATGAAAATTCTGTAAAAGCTCTGTATTTATTTTAACTTGTCGATTTTTATAAGGCATGTACTCTTTATAATTTTTTTTAAGGAATTCGAGAGTTTCATGATCTTTCTCACCCCCTCTGATAAGTTATCCTTTTTATATATTTCATTTTAGTGTTGAAGAACAGGTCATACAACTGTCTTTGACATATTCGGCTTAATCATAATTTGTCTTGTTTTTGTTCTCCAGTTTTTTCATCTGTCTTGTAAAATTTCTAGCTTGTGGAGGTGTTCAGCAGTGGAGGGGATTTTCACCTGGAGCTACCATCCGGGGAGCTCGAGGGTCCAAAGCAACTATGGGAAATACCTGCATTCTACACCAAGCCGGTCATCAGAGTAAAATTTAATGCACATACACAAAAGAATCACACAGCTTATATCAGGTAAAATCAATAAAAGTCTGTAAGGTTGTTCTTCCTCCGAACTTCTGAGCAGGAATGCAGAAACTTACCAATCACGGGGTCATGATTGCATCGCTGCTCATGTAAAAAATGTAAAGGCTGTAAAAATCGGAAGGCCAAGTCACCAAAAAGTTGTGTCGCGCATTTCTTCGAAAATTGCAGTGAAATTTTTGGTTTTATCGTAGAATTGCGGTGGATTTTGCTTGTTTTTTTTTCTGCAAAATTGTGGCACCATCTGAATGACAGATAAAAAAGGATGCAGCCAGGAAAATTTTTGGGGAAAAGGGGTTTTCTAAAAAGGGATACCAGTCGAAAAAATAGGAAGGCTAAGTATTTTCTGCATCCTTGCTTTTGAGACTTTGAAGTTTCAGCTCCGAAGACTTCTCTCTGCTCATGTTAAAATATCCAACTCCAGATAAAAATGAACGATCTTTTTAGGTGAAAGAAGTACGGACAATGGCGTTTTATATCAGCAAACCATATGTTTTTTAGTGTGCATGTGCATCAGAAACTTCAGAGCTGCAAGAAATCCGTCTGTAGTGCCAGGCCGTTTATTCGGAGGTTGCTGAGTTTTGAATACTTAATTTATGCAAACCAGAAAATTAACGGAGATACATAATAGATTACTTACCTTTGTCATTGATAACTAATGAAGGTCACCTTTGTTTTGTTCTGTGTAGGATTCTTCATCCTCTTATTTTTGACCAATACCAAGGCCTTGTTTTTCTGACCTCTAAAATTTCAAACTATCATTCAGAGACAAAAGGTGGTTTTGTGCGCACCTTTGAGAAATTTAATTCATTGACTTTAATATTATAAATCTTAGTTTGTGGCACATCAGGTGTTGCATTTACCCATGCTGATATAATTTTTCTCTCTGTTTAGATTAAAAGTGAATCGTAGTGAGGAGGTATTGATCGTACCTCTCGAAGTAGAAGTGAGTCCGAGCTCTGGTATCTACTCACCAGACGATATCATCGATTTTGGAATTGGAGGGCATCAAGACCCCCCAAAAACTTTGTTACTTCATCTTAAAAACTCGTGGAAGAAACCTATCAAAATACAGAATATAATGAGTATTCCTCCGTCGAAAGCTTTAAAGATCGATTTTCAACCGATCAAAGTGCCTCCTGATTCCCAGACTGCAACCAAAGTTGCATCTTTAACCTTTGACTGTAAGTGTTTTGCTGTCTATAACTTTTTTATTTAAATTAGAATTTAAGCTTTTTATTCATATTCAGTATTTGACAGGTGTCCATCGATGGAATCTGAAATCAGATTATTGATGCCATAGTACAGTGTGATGTTGCCACAATCAGGGAACAGCGGTAAAACCAGGAATTTTGCAAAGTCAGAGAAAACCAATAAATACCAGGGATGACGAAATTGTCAGGAAAATTTGTTAAGTCACCTTTATTTGCTTTCAAGAATGGGTCTTAGGTTTTGAGCAACAAAGTTTGCCTGAAAACTATTTCAAATTATGTCTTTTCAACCATCTGGCATATCCTCAATTTTTATTGAATTTTACCAAAATGCGTCAGGAAAATGTCAGAGAATTTCGTTTTCCAAATTCCATGGCAACCTAGACGAAGTAGTGCAGAAAATATGAATTGACGTTCAGAAGAATGCTATCTCTTCATTCATGAGTTCAATGTGGATAATTTCAATGTATGGAGTTGTACTTAAAATTTTAATGAGAAAATATGTACGCATTGTGTTGCATAATTTCATACCCTGATTAGTGGTTCATTCTGAGGAAACCTCTGTCAGAGAGTCGTTTTTCTATCAAATTATTGGTTCATTTTTTTTTCCTTTCCAGGGAAACTAGCGCAAGATCAGAGCTATAGCAAGGGAAAACTTGTGATAAAAAGTAGTGGGGTGGGTGGGGGAGTAGAGAAACTAGTCATGAGCTACATTGCTCGCACTTTACATGGTGGTCTTGTTTTTGATGTGCCTGCCATTGAATTCCAACCCCTCAACAAGGAGTTCTATCAGCAACCGTTTCACATCAAAAATACGTTTGCACTGCCTGTTGTTATTCTAAATGTCACAGTGCCTCGGGAAGCTGCCCAACAAATACAGGTATGCTTCTCATATATTATCCCTCCTTTTTACATTTGACTCTCCGGAGAAGAAATCGACTGAAGGGTTTTTAAGGTCAAATGAAAAAAAGAGAAAAAAGGGTGAGCATCTCTTTTTTTTTAAACATTTCCAGATTTTAAAGGGTCAGGAAAAATGCCTATCATTGAAATATTATTACAGTATCAAAGATTTTGAATTTTGATCTGATTTTAGCTTATTCGAGTATTGCTGGTCGCACTATCATGAAGTGAAAAAATATTTTAAAGATTTCCTCTGCTTTTGTCACGTATCGCTGTGTTTTGGTCTTTCAAAAGTATTGGATCCTTCAAATTTCCCCCTAATTTTTTAAACCGCGTCAAATTTCATTAATTGTCAACAGCCTCCCAAGATTGAGAAATCTATGACCTTGGATTTTGTAAACCTATTTTGTTGCATTAAATATCTGATGTTGGAAGGCAGGAAATTCTAACGGACCAGCTCAGGCCAAGTTAAGAATATGACAGTTACGCTATATTCCTTATGTTATAATTTCAATTTTCTGATCTCTCTTTTCAGATCATTAACTTTGAGCCGATCATCATTATGCCTGGAGAAAAAGTACCTCTTTTTACCTTAGATTTAGTCGATAGTTCTGAACACTTCAATAGTCTGAATACAGAAATTACAATTCATTCAAATGTTTCGTCCGTGAAAATTCCTCTACTGCGATACAGCGGTCATCTCATGAAGGTATGCAGCATTTATCATTTTCCTCTGATATAAATTACAAAAGTTGCCGCTGATCTCAGGCGTTTTTTACACGTAAGTTAAAGCGTGAAGACGTCAATGCTTTTCAGAGTGGAACATGACGTCAAGAATCTTGGTACTTCCCTCTACGTAGACAGTTTAAGCTATTACCATTTTTTTTTTTTTTTTTTTTTTTTTTTTTTATAAAAGCTAGCTGTTAGCCTCATTTATTTTTGCCTCTTTACTTCTCTGGTCCTAAATTATACAGATTTTTATCAGGTTATTTTTCTTGTTTGTCTTTGCATTATATCTGATAGAAAATAACAGCGTTAACTCATTTGAAAGATTTCAATCCTTTAATTTCGCTTGTAGGTATATTTACTGCAGTTCCCATTCAAACTATCATTTTCACTGCTTCTTAAGAACTTTTCCAGACTTATTTTTGTTTTGTTTTTAATGAGCTTCTCAATCTGATTACAGGTAACGGAATCAGGTGATGACTTAGTTATTGGTACAATCGAGGCTCAACGGTTACTCACAACAAATGTTGGGCTCGTGAATTTGAATCCAGCACCTGTGAAATTGCAGAGTTGGGGTAGTGATTTAGCAGCAGTTTCTGTTGAACTTCTCGGTACTTGCGCTCATTCTTTGCGATGCATCAGTCAGTCAGCAATTTGCAAGTTTACCGATACGGTGAGTCTTATCAATTCAGCTAATACAATTCGCTTATCAATTCAGCTAAAAGATACAGTTTGCTTTGATGCATTTTTTAATCCACTCTGTTTCTAGAAAAAGATGATCTACTATGCCTCAATCCTGGATACCGACTGTGAAACTCCCTAACCATGTATATCCGGTTTGTGATGTTGCAGACTTCCTGCCATACTATATTTTTTAAATGGAAAACCATCCAACATCAATTGTTGAAAACTTTTATGATTTTTCTTCTCTACGTAAGAAAAATTCTGAAAAAATTCAGGGAATAATTTTGATTTGTTTTCCCTTGAAAAAATAAAATAAGAGCAGTGATTTTACAACACCGCAAAAGGGATACATGGTTTAGGACTTTCACAGTCGATATGTATCTATATGAAAATACAAAATTTCAAAACTATAAAAACTCATTTGATTTTCTCGCCCAAAAAATCAGCAATTTTTCGTATTGAATCAATTTCAATTTAATCTCCTACACAAACTTATCTGAGAGCATGTTCCCCAGTGCAATTAAATTTATCACCCCTTTCTTTTACTTTCAGAAAACAATTGAATCTGGGCATCAGGCTGTGCTGAAGGTGACTGTGAAAACAGAGAAACCCGATGAAGTCGTGGAAGGTGATGTGTGGGTTGAATCAGAATTTGAGCGGCTTTCATTCGCTCTTCAAATGAAAGTTGTAGATGGAAAGATCAAAGTCATCAATCAGCCTGTCAAATTCAGTGATTGTTTTCCAGTAAGTTTACAGCATCTCATTTATCTACAATTCATATCTCTGATTTTCGCAATCTGGATAGTGATAATGAAGTTCGGAAACATGGGAGAAACAATGAACAACTTTTTGCACACCCTTCATTTTTTAGGTGAAAAAACTAACCAATCATTTGTTGTGGAGTACATGTGGATTTCTCTTAAGCATGACTAAAATTGCTGTTTTTTTTCCTCCAGGAGCAGTCGTGTTCTATTCCACTGGAAATTTCATCGGAATTCAACTTTCCAATGAATGTGGTGAATGTATCCCACACTTCTCTTGATGCAAGCGGGATCTCATTCTCACCAGAAAAGGAGGCGAGAATAGATCCCATGACCACTAGTATCGTTGGACAGTTAGTTTGGAAACCTCCAGAGGAAGCGTTTCAGTCACTGCTCCACAACAGCACAGGTACCTTAATTTATGTGTAGAAATTTAATGATGTTAAAGTATTCTTAGTTTCAAAATATTGATGTGTATCTATGCAAACTCAAGAAATTACATGTTAAATATCATAAAGGGCCTTACAACTTAGAAAACCCATTAGTAGGGAGATATTATCACCTCCGCTAACAGAAGTGTTTTCCAAGTATTTTGATGCAAAAAACACCAAAAATTGTGAAATTCTGGTCGGAGGCTTGCAGTCCAAAACATGTAGTTTTGAGAATTTTAATCTCCTGTGTTCAAGATTGTGAGCCGTTTTGCCATGTGCATAGCACAAAAATGAACATAACTTCTCAGAACTTAATATTTGAGACACAAGACTGTGTTCTCTGCCAAAAACTCTAATTTAGATTTTTGACCGAACTTGGTAAAATTTGTTTTCCCGAATAATTTGTGTTTTTATGAAGGTCTTTTTCCAATAGACAGTCGCATATCAGTTTCAAATTGAAGACCTAATTTTTGTGAATTGGATAAAATTAAAATGAGGCTCTGTAAATGGGCCATCAGACAAGGCATGAATTGAAGCACTACGCAACATGTTTTCTCTTCAAAATTTCACAAGAAAAACGAATCACACAGTGGAAAGTTCGAAATTCAAGTTCTAAACAAGATATAAGTGTTTATGATCAACATTGACTGAATGGCAAAAGTACAAATGGAATCTCTGTGTTTGGATTGTTTTCAACGCAAGATTTTGAAGAGAAAGTACTTTTTTTCTAGTTTAGACATTTTCCAATGGCCAACTCTAAAATGCATTAATCATCTTTCATAAAAGTTCTGTAAAATATTAAACATTTTGAAATTTAATGTTCAAAAACTTTGCTATTGTCAGAGGAATTTTCCCCTTGCAAATCATTTTGTCAAAGCGAGAGAAAGAAAGTAAATCATTCATGAATATGAGCCTGATTGCATCAATTTCATGCGGATGATTTCTTAATTAAATTCGATTTAATTCCAGAAACACAAGAGTTCCTAGCATCTCTCTCGCTTCCGTTAAACGTTGCAGAGTGGGATCTTCATCATTTAAATTCACAGCGCCAGCAGTTCCGCACTTTTTTTTCACAACCACTCAACTTTTCGCTGAGACTTGACACAACAGAAATCCGCCGCCACCTGTTTTTAGCTCAGCTCCCACTGTCGTGGCCAGTCATGACACAAAAGACAATTGAGTTTCCTCTGACGTTGATCGGAAATCAAACGTTCCGGAATTTGACACTGATAAATTTTTCCAGTCGACAGCCTGTAGTTGTGCAGATTGCACCTTTTGTCCTCTACAAAGATTATCTGGAAAATGAACGAGAACTCAGTGAATTGTAAGTATGATTGTATTAAAGAAATATTCCTTCATGCTAATATTTTTATCCTGTAGTTGCTGGCAACTAGGAACATCTGGATAATATAACAATACCATTACTATTTTTGGTATTCCAGTGGTAAAAAAGTCTAATTTTTTTTTATTTAAGGGTGGTTTTTTTTTGTTTTTTGTTTTTTTCGTCTGTATGGGAAAATGATAATGAATTTTGGTTAAAAATTGAAAAAGACCACTCGAATTTGAGGAAAGACTTAGAACTTTCTGCACTGCCTGCTTGTTCTACTGTCTTTGAATAAAGTAATAAATGATAGAAAATTGTTGAAGAGCTCTGAAAATGGAAAAGAAAAGGATATATCAATCAACTGCAGGCATGCAATACTTCATGTTTTTTAATTCATTAAAAGTTAAGCGTACTTTTTGTACAATCCCCCCAATTTTCCTGATATTCTGCTATTTAGGTACTTTGATGTTCTAATACTGATACCAACAAATCAAAACGCCTCATTTCACGATGTCCAACTGTCGATTGTCGACTTCCTAACGTGATGGTGAGATTTTAATAACCAATGGTGAAACTGCAGGAATGTGTATCTTGGTCTGCTGTGTTAAAGGCTTCCCGGCATACTTAATTTTCTACATTCATCGAAAACCACAACATAAATGTCATTTCTTGAAAACTTCGGTGATTTTTCACTGTATGTGAAGAAAATACTGTGAAAATTTCAAGCCATGATACTGATTTGGTCTCCTTTTAGAAAATTAAACAGGAGCAGAGATTTTGAAATAGCACATGACCACAACCCAGGCACGCATTTTTGTAGTTTCACCGTTAAAATGCAGTTGTTTTTATGAAAATTTAAAAATCTCTTTACACAGCATGTCATTGAAATGAAATTGAATTTTTTTTCTAAATATTTTTATTTCAATGCTTGTTTCAGTTTTAATTTCACCAATGAAGCATTGAATGATCCAAGCCAGTTTTCTGTATCAGTGGAAGATTCGTTGATCTGGGACTATCCAAATGCACACAGAGCATCAATTTTGTACCTCATCCCTCCTGCTTCGAACCTCACCCTATCAATCTGTTTCTCTCCATCAAATGCTGAGTCAATCATAGAATATATAGCTATCAGGTACTTATAACTTCCTACTTTTATTTGAGAATTCAATGCTAGTTTTGTTGGTTCTGCAATCAACTGAAAAAATTGACTTCTCTCCACTAGTTACAGTCAATTTAGAAATAATATTTTTCAGTATGCATGAAATTTTTCGTGGTATGTAGTTTTCTTGCCCCTCAATTTTTTCCTGTTGTTCAGATTTTTTTCAGTTGATGTAAATCTAGAGATTGAAAGGTAAAAGATGCACCTTTATACCCCATCCTCTTTGAAGTTGCCATAAAGTGTCTTCGCACATTCTTGTTCGCTGCAGACTTTTGAGAAATTTTCACAGGAAAATCTCAGAGGAAGTTATTGATCTCATTATTATGTGAATACATTCTCTGCTTTCAACAATAGAAACTGTCTTTCAACCAAGATTAAGGTCTGGTGTTTTAACCCTTTCAATACAACAGACAAGTGAACTTGTGTAATTGTAGCGCCATTGCGCAACAGAATCATCACCTTACATCTGTTGAAGAAATAAGCATGTAATATATACTTACTCATATAAAATACAGTTTTTTATGAGGTATCGGTCAATAATATTTTTTGTATGGCTTTTCCTTTACTAGCGAGAACCATACTCATATATATATATGCACTCACAACAGAGTGCAGGAATATCACTGTGTTGAAGAAGAGCTAAAAGTATTTTCTAGTGCTATTCTCTTTCCTAACCTGTTATTCGGAAATTTAATGTCTTTTTTAATCAACTTAAAAAATCCTTCAAAACTGGTCTTTCAAATACGGAGTCATGAGATGCAGCCTAAATGAGACTACTTATGATTTAAACACATTTATTCCAGGCATTGGAATAAAATATCAATTGGTATAAATGAACAGAGAATGTAAACTTAATTACTAATGTCACAAACAGGACAATATACCTATGACCTCTGATAAATGAGTAAATCAACAAATTTCTTTCAAAACATATTCACTTTGAATATTAAAAAATTTGAGTAGCCAGTTTTTTAATTTAGACGTTTTAATTCAGAATGCACTCAGGATCTATTAAGGAATAATTTAGCTTTTCCAAGTATGATTTTTCATAACAATGTGCATCTCTTCAAAATATTGAAACTACTGTTCACAGGAATAATTTAACTACACTGGAACTCGTCAAGTTGCACGGCCTAGGGACAGAAGTTCAGTTCAAATTCGGTAATCGAAAACCAGGTTCTGATTCGCCACTTTTGTTTGAAATAACAGAAAAGCATCTGAAGGATTGTGAGAGTAAGTAATTTCCAGCTTTTTTAATCCAAATTCAAAGATATTTGATCCAGTCCTATTTTATGTGGAGCACCCTCTTCAAGTTGGGCGAACCGTTTTCAATAGGGGAAGTATACCATGAAGATCAAGCACTAAGGTTTTATCAGAAACAAAGAGGTTCCAAATTTTAGGATATTTTTGCCATTTTCCGGAAAGCAAACGATAAATGAACACATAGTGCTCTTAGAAAGAATCACATTCTGTCCATTTTCATCCTTTTCCTTAAGTCACCAGTTTATTCCACAGTATTCTCTGCCAATGGTCATAGCCCCAAGAAATTGTATTGTGTATTCTGAAAAAGATTTGAGTGATTGAAAACTATGTTTTTTCTTGCAGAGGACAAAAATCAAAAAGATGCAGCTGCTCCAAATCTTACAGTGAAAAGGACCTTCACTGCACGTAACACTGGTGAACTTCCGATCCTGATACTGGGATATTTGATCAATGGCTTACCAACGGAAGGATACGGTTTTAAAGTCCTCAATCCGGAGCCTTTTGTCCTTCTCTCTAACACAACGCGGAAGGTAAAACAAGTTTGTTCATCCTTGATTTTCAATCGCCCCTGTAAAACTTAGTTTTAGTTTATCAGCACACATCAAATATCCATCTTATTCCATGTGGCATCATAAGCAACAAAGAGTTTAGTTTCTAGCTTATCATATTTAATATTCGAAATATATCCTATTTCAAAGGTGGTGTTTATTGAAAAGAAACCATGTTTTAGAAAACAAACAGGCCCGCTTGTTTTTTGGTTTGTAGAATACCACACATTGGATAATGAAAACCAGTAAACACTTGGCTCTTTTTCATGGATTTGCACTTTTCTTTCTGTCATTTTATTTGCTGTCTGTTCTGAGGTACGGAAAGTAACTAGTCAATTAAAAACCAAAATAGTTATAACTTTCCAGTAAAATTCAATTTTCTTGCCACTAAGCAAAGTAAAAGTCTTATGTAAATCATTTACATTAAAATTTTGTCATAAAAAGCGTTTTCTATCAGAATTATTGTTTAATTTCATTCTATGAGCAATTCTCTTTTTTCTCATGAAAAATTCCTCTTGCTAATGTTGCCCCTATGAAGATGGATATTTGAACATTAAATTAAATTAAATACTTAAATCTTTAAAAAAAATGCAAATTTGATTAATTTAGATAAAATATTTAGTTTTTCAAAAGAGATTGCCATGTACCATCAATACGCTGACTTCTCCTGACAGAGGAAACAGCACAAATTAAGATATTATTCTTGGATAACACCCTTCAAATTCATCAATTTTCTCCTAGAAATAAAAAAAAAATCTATCTGCTGTCTCGTTGAAATTGTAGTTTAACCATTACCCCGTTTGCAAAAAAAAAATTCTGTTTTTCTCTCTCTCTCTCTCATTATGAATTGATTTGGTTCTAATGTCTCTCTCTAATCCCTCCTGTACATTGATGAAAAGTTCTCAGGAGGCGTCTTAACAATCTTAACTGACTTATTCAGTCACAAGTATTGAGAAATATTCATAAAAATTTATAACTATCAATTTGATTTTGTTTCAAGGTGGATATTGCCTTCACTCCAGATTTCACACTGGCACGAATAGAGCGCACGCTTACCATCATTACAGACATGTCGATTCCAACCAACTACACACTTGTTGCAACTCTTCCGACGCACATGCTCGCCCCTTGCTCCGCGGTAATCAAACGGCCTGCTTGGGAGCCGCTACTCTACTACATTGTCTTGACCTTGAAACTCACGCTCCTAGCGTGCGTCATCGTAGCAGCATTCTTAGAATCAGAACGACTATTGAAGTCTGTAATCATCCGTGCGCAAGATGCAGCTATTCAGCCAGTTCTTGATCTCAAGTAAGTTCGAAACTTAAACCAATAAAAAAATTTTTTCCCCATAGGTCTGAAACTTTCTGCTAAAGGTTCTTTAACAGAAAACTGAATTGAGCACCAAATATTTCTCCCATGAAAAATGTTCCTGCAATCTCCAACGTTATCCATCATAAGCATGGTAACTCACCTCGTAACTTTTTTGGATCTGAATCTCTTCAATTAGAATTTTTGAATTTGAAATTCTGCTCTAATTCATTTGTTCTCCTTCTCACAGTAATACCTGAAATTAGTGTTGCAACTAGAAACACAATCAGCCGTCAATTATGCTACTCATGCCAATGGAATATTCGATTGATTTGTAGGAGAAATCAAAGAATGCTCCGTAAGTTTGGAGATTCCTTCAAACCCAAGTACCCAAGTTTCAAATCCTTTGCAAAGAGTAAATTTCTCAAAATTCAATCCAAGACACATATTACAGCCTTTTTGTGCATTGAGTAGATGGAGGTCAGTGATAGAGGACACACCCTCTCTGCTCTTTAAATATCATATCAATTCTTATCAATTTTAATGACGTTTGCACTAATAAATAAATTATACTTTGATAGTGTCATGTTGCATAATTGCCTGTTGCCTCAATTTTCAGGAGTGTGGCTGAAAAAGACATTGAAGAAAAGATAAATTATAGTGATAAATCTAGCACAAAGGAAGGCAATAAACCTCCCGCCATTAGCCTTGATGAATCTTACTGTGATCCCTCTAGTCAGTCCTCCTCCTGGTTTAGCTTCCCATCATCGGTAAGTCTATGCAATTTTAATAGAACTAAAAGAAGTGAATAACAAAGAATTTTAATAGCCTTTCAATGAGAGTGGGGAAAATTTATTCAATACAGTGTCTAGAATTTTCTAGACCATATTTTGAGACTAACGGCAAGATTTCACGCTTGGTTTGCAGGGATTAGAATATCAGTCAAAAGTTGATGCCTCAAAAATTGCAAATTTCACAAGAATTTTTTCTTTTTTCACTCGCTCCTGAAAAACTCTAGCTCAACTTTCATTTTCAGAGCAAGTTGGAAAGTGTTAGTTCTTTTTAGTTCCAATTATTTTCTAATCTCATTTAATAGTAAATCAAGTTAGAAAGTATTTGATGGTCTTATCTCTGCTGTGCATTTTTCATTTTAAAATTGAAATGTAGTCTGTTAAATGCATTGCAAAGAATGAAAATTGCCACTTGACAAACTCCTACGGCTTCAGCCTGAATCCTACTTTGATGCAAGTAACCTCTCTTCACCTCAGCAACTTTCCGCAAACTTGTGTGTTGGAGCTAATCATGTAGCGTGTAAGAAAGTTGAACTCTTTACATTCTCTTCTATTCTTTTCTAATGATGAAGCAGCAGTAAACTTTTACCTCCTGTTTCTAATAATTATTTGGAAGGCATAATGTAACTTGGTCATTTTTTTTTTTTTCAGTTTTACAAAGAGAAGAGCGATAAAGAAAAAGTTAAGACAAAATCTTCAACTAATTCTACATCTAATTCAACACTGAAAAGAAGAACGCCTACTAGCAAAAACTCCGAGTCCACCTCTTGGTCCAGCATTTTCAATGCGTAAGAGCACTCATCGGTTTTTTCCTTTGGTTGTCTCTTCTTATACTTTTTGATTGTTTCAAGTTCATAATATCATCAAATTTTCATCCTTTGAAAAATCTTGGTCACTTTATATTACATTAAGAAAGATTGGGGAGTGAAATTTTAAAAGTATACCGTATAAAGTATATGCATACTTTAAGCAATTGGAAGCTCTATGTAGAACCTCAGAAAACTTCTCAGTGGAAAAACTTATGAGCACATCTGTGACACGAAAAATAGTGGCTGAAGAGCAGCCCTAGTAACAGGCTTGATGTTTAAGTCAAGGATTGGAACACAGATATATTGACACATTCAAAGACTAGGGGCTTGCTAGAGCCAATCAATCCTTGAAAAATGGCTCGAGCTGCTCACCCAACTCCACTTCTCAGCCACAACTTTTCGTAACATATACTACACAATATATTTCTGAACCGATGTGTAATACTGCCATGCTAAGGAAGAACGCCGTATGAACAGGCGAGAGTTGCCAACTTTCCCTCGATAAAACATGTATTTTTGACGCCATTCATGCATATTTTCCCTTGAAATTTTTGGATGTTTTAAATTAAATTGCATACAACATTGTCTGGAAATTTTGTAAAATAATATCCGCAATTTCTTCAGTAAATTTGGTATCAATCGGAGGGAACTTGGCAGCGTCTGAGGGCTCATCCGGCTTTCTTCCTTAGCACGGTAGAATACTATTGCATTCATCTTACCATGCCATTTTTTGTTTAAATATGCTTTTTTTTTCGTTCATTTTGAAATGTCTATTATATTTTTGCAGGACCTCTAGTTCGCTTTTGAATATGTCCAGTGCACCAAAAGTGAAATCTGAACCTCCAGAACAACCAGTTAAAGTAGACGATAACAGTAAAATTTCAACCCCCAAAGTGAACGGTAGAACTAATCACTTGCCGAGTGAAGTGAGCGTGCAGAAAAAAGCAGCAGCCAGTAATAAAAAAACTAAGTCCAAGTCGAAAAAAGAGGGAAAAATTGAAACTAGTCTAACGAAGAAAAATTTGGAGGAGTGGAACTCATCCAGCAGTTCACCTTCATCAACCAATTCTAGCTGTCATGAAAAGGAGTTTAAAGTGAGTGATTTCATTTAGATGTTTCTAAGTTTCCATTATTTTTTGTCTAAAGTTTAAAAACAGAACGAAATCAATTAAAAATAATCTGTAAAGAAAGGCAAAGGAAATAGAAGTAACAAACTGTGACCTGATTGCACAGGAAGTGAAACTACTATTGTTTTCTGAGTCACCTGCAAAATTTAAATAGAAACTCATTCACTATATTTGAAAGACAGTTATCTTTTTAGGATACCTGCGTTCAGTCTAAAAAACTTGATTCTGATGCATTTTGTTTCTATCCATTCAGACTGTATCATAAGGAAAATTTCAAGGTTAAGGTGAAGTATTTGTGACTGTTCCCAGAATGAAGGACCTCAAAGCTAAAAAAAATAAAAAGCGAAACATTGATATATACTACTGTATAAAAAAGTGTTTCATAAAAATGTTAGCAAAAGAAATTCCCCAAAATATCGAACCAAATGGGTATTATTATGGAATGAAGTTAGCAATAAGAAAAAAAAATAAGTTTTGATATTAAGTTATGCAAAATTGCAATTTGTCATGTCTGGGGTCTTTTATCACAACTATACTTACCTCCTCTTTTGACTTTCAAATTAAATAAGCTACTCGCACTTTGAATCTCAGTTTGGAAAGGATCCAACTCGGGTTTTTTATGATGTTAATATTTTTCTGCGTAAAAACACTCATTTTCTAACTGTTTCGCAGTTTTTATCGTCTCCTGAAAAATCTCCGAAATAGGTTGTTTTCGAACCAAGAGATTAATTTATTCCTCAGAATATTTCTCAGCTTTTTCAGTCAATTCATATTTCTCACTCTTTTCACTCCTGTAAGAATGTTGTAAGAATGGTTTTATTTTTTCATTACAGAAAACAGAAAGGAGTTTGCCACTTCAAGAACTGCGTGACCAGGCTGCCAAGTTAACTCCAAAGCAAGCCAAAGTAGACAAACCACTTACCAATGGAGTTGTGTCGTATGCAACAACCGAGGCAAACGATGATAGTGACAAGAAGAAACCCAAAGTTAAAGTGAGTGTGAAGGTGGCCAAGCCAGGTCACAAGAAGACGAACAGTTTAGACCTGACAGCCAATTTTGAAAATGCACAAACGAAAAAAGTCAAAACAGTCCTGACGAACGTTAAATCGCTACCCTTGGCCAGAAGTAACAAAGGAAACTTTGTGGGTCCGGTCTCGGTACAGTCAAATTTGGAGAATGGAACTAGGAGTCATGTTTGGGAAGACAACAAAGCTATTAACACTCCAAAAGGTGCGTACAGCAGATAAAATTAATTTACTGGAAGTGTTGATACACAACATTTTGGTAGCAATTTTTGGTTTGTTGGGTAGCCAGTGCCATGGGTTAAAATAAAACGTAAACTCGCATTAACTTGAAATTGAAGAATGTATTACCTAGTCAAAGTTTTTCGGCCTCAGCCATCGTCAGGACTTAGCAAAAAACACAGTTAGAGACAATACACGATTAATTTTGATTAATATCAGTTTATACAAACGTTGACAGCAAATGTATGAATATTTGCATGATCTGATATTAATCAAAATTAACCATGTATTGTCTTAAACTGTGTTTTTTGCTAAGTCTTGACGATGGCTGAGGTCGGAAAGCTTCGACTAATACATTCTTCAATTTCAAGTTAATGCGAGTTTACGTTTTATTTTAACCCATAGCACTGGCTTCCCAATAAAGCAAAAATTAATTTACCTTAGATCTATTTTATTTGCCTTTGTCTTTTAGGATTTCAAAAAAATTTAAAAAATTCCTAGAAGCGCAATTCACTGCATACCTGCTGTCAAAAAATGAATTGAAATAATGGGTGTCACAGATCCATTTCATTTATAAAAAAAAAAATTACTGATAGGGAATCTTGCTAGGAAACTGGTTAATAGCTTTTGTGCCCTAAAAATTATGTATGTAGTATCTTCTTGCTGAGCGTAAGCTCATCAAGACCTAACAAATTTAAGCAAATTAATTACTGTCTTTTTACTGATGAATTTTTCATGTAAATTAATTTTTGAATGTTTTTATTCTTAGTTACAGCATGGGTACCTCCGCTACCTGCAGGAACACCTTTTAATTACAGCGACCGCTCTCAAAATTTGAAACAATCCAAGCCCATGCGACTGAGCTTCAGTGATGTTGTTGCACGCTCCGATAATCGTCAACCGTCTAACAGCGCAGCCTACCACAAGCGAGAAAAAGCCTTCGATTTCTCAGTTCCTCCTCCAGGTAAGACTAAAGACATAGATTTTCATTCAAAAGCCTACACAATGCCCTATGAAAAACGCTGCACTTCATCTATGCTAGTAAATCAGAAGATTCTCTTTAAGTATCATTCAAGCATAGTGACTCAACTTTTGTTTGTTCTGTGAATATGATGCTGATGTTAAGAAGCAAAATATCTCATGAAGTTATTTTGTTAATTAGTGCATCAAATTGTGTATAATAAAAATTGAAATGAAGATATTGTAACTGAAACACTTTTTATCAATACATAGCAGTGTTTATTGGCGAGAATATTGAAAGTAGTTTATTGTAATGTAAGAAATCTCTGGCAAGTAGAGGAGGTAACATCGTAAAATAAGGAATGAAAAGGAACAAACATAAGCATGAAACTAATGAGATGGACCAATGCAAAGAACTGTGAGCGGAGGTAACATGATTGTAATCTTGATAGAGTTCAGACACCAGGTCTTATGACTCAAAAAATTTTAAGTTATGTTCTACTGATGAATATTGTATGCTAAAATTATATTCTTCTACTATTATTTTGACTTATAAAGTGAGGGTAGTCCCCCTTTCAGCTAGAAAGAATTACGCTTCAATTATATTTGCTGAGTTCTGGAGTAATAATTTATTTCGATTCTTTTTTGCAGAACCAATTGGACCCAAAAAATCCACAAATCCAGCGTCACAAATGTGGGGAAACTCTTTATTCTCAAGTGTGCCTCCGTTTAGCAATGTTGACAAAGTATGGGATCAGTCTATTGTCCTGAAAATGATAGAAGAGGAAAGGATCAAGAAAGAAACTCTCGCTCGCAATGCTTTAATAGGTGATTGTGAAGTCATGTTGTCACTTCTTAAAATCTGTCTCGGCTTATAAAGAGAGATTATGTAATCAGTTCTTGCTGTTTAGGGATTTTATCTAAGATCAAGTTTATTAGTCTATAGAAAACTGAGGTATAGCTATAGTATACAAAAATTTTAACAATTCTATCCCATAAATGCGAAACTTCAGCAACCAAAAGGCCAATGTGGTTGCGATAAAAATGTGAAGGCCACCCAAAGGAGGTTTTTTAAATGTAAAAGCTGCCCAAAGGAGGTTTTTTAAATGTGAAGGCACTCGAAAAGGGGAAAAATTCAGAGGCAGCGCTACTTTTTGTGAATGAAACTATCAGATGCATCATACTTTCAGAGGGAAGCTGCTAAGCATATTACTTTCAACAAAGAAAACTGAACTGTGTGTTTTATGCCAAAAAAATAGGAAAGCATGCAGTCTTGTGTCGACAGCAATGTGAGGGCAAAAAACTTTCTATAGACCCTTTTCGTTTCTTTTCTGGTAAACATAAGTAACAAATTTCATTAACCATCGAGTAACAACTTCTAAAATTCCTCTAAATTGGGAAGGATCAGTCGAAGGTTTGGGAGCTGTTTCAAGAAAACTATGGGGTACGGGCGCACATTAGATACCATCCTTTTTGATGCAGCAAAAAATAAAAGAAACTAAACTCTTTACACCCCTGTTTTACAATATTGTTTAACAATCGGTTTTCAGACTCTTGGCCAAAGTCAATCCCCTCGCTATGGTCAGACGCTCCGTCATCCTCTTTACACACCGGGAGTCCACTCAGCAATGCCGTCTGGAGCAACTCGTCTCCGACACGGAGTTCAGTGTGGGGCAGCGATGTTTGGGCGCCTCCTGCTGCCTCGACCCCGCCCCGCACACCCTTGCGGCCGCCTCCTGGGCTAGCACCCACCACTCCGAGAGTGGCCCCTTCTTCCCCTCTCCATGTCTATCCAAATTTGGCTTCGCGCCAGCGGATATTCGATGAAGGAGACATCCCTCTTCCACCAAGCTACACTGCCAATCAAGAGAAATCTCAGGTGAGTTCCTCTAATGCCTATTATTTAAATTTTTTCTTGTTTAGAATTTGACAACTCTTGTTGTAATTATCAGGGATACAAACTTTCTACACAGCAGCCAGTGACCATAGTAATATGAAAAAACAAAACAATGGNGGGGGGGGGGGGGGGCAATGGGAAACAAGACTAAAAATGCATAATAAAAAACCAAGACATTTCAGCTCAGAATGGAGCCATTTGCAGTCGGAGAAAAAGTACAAAATATAAAAAATTTCATAAAAATCTGAGATCTACACGATAGTGGTCAAGAATCACAAGACAATTATCAGAGACTACAGGCATGAAGAATTACCACCATTCACTGTCAAGTGTTGAAATAGCTCTGATACTTACTCTATTTCGGCCAATTTTTATGAGATTGTTATCATATAATTTGTGACTCTACGCCAATAAAGTAACTAAGTAAGAGTGCGATCCGTCAGTCCTCCATGGAATCCATCAAGAAGTGTCATGAACATTACCAAGAAATACCCCTTGCGCCGGAGCAATCTTCAGTAAAAGTAGTTAATAGCCACCATATTTTGCGTGATTTCTTGGCCTGGTGGGAACAAATAAGTATCAACTGGTTGGCAGGGTATATGCTATAGCACATGTAAACATTAAATTCTTTCATTCGTTTTTTAATGCATTTTTACATATATTATCTTTCAGCCAAAGCTTTCACAGACGCAAGAGTATGACCCATTCCGATCTCTAAGCAGTATCTGGTCATCGCCCTCACCATCTCCTTCTCCCTCAATTTGGAGCTCTAATCCTTCACAAAAAAATTGAATTTTTTATCTGCGTTCATCTCTAACCTCACGCCTTTCTAAAAAGGTTTTCTTTTCTTTTTCACCTTTTATTTTCTTGAAATGACAAAGGACCCATCTTATTTTTTTATTTTACTGAAAAATTATCTGATACAAACTGATCTTGACCTCTGACTTGTAGCACTTTCTTTCAAAATTTTCTAAAAGCTGTAACTGTAAATGCCCAAGACCTAATTTCCTTTCTAGTTTTTCCTTTATCGGAGTAACTAGTGCTCTGTGTAAAGTCTAAATTCTAAGCACAAATTTAAGATTCAATCCAATCTGAATTATTGGAAAGAATGGTAGACCCATATAGTTAAAATATATCATGAAATCATTCCGACCGTAACGAAATTTGCTCTTTAAGCTCCACTTTTCGATGCTCACAATGATGTGAAACAAATGACCTTTTTCATTTCAAAATGAATCATACGTTATACTAACCTGCCTTAATCTCACACAAAATTGAATCCATTGAAGTGAAACTAAACTGCTATCGAAGTGATTCCTTTTCCAGTCAAGTTTGGTCACAGGTCTTACTTGTTGAACGAGTCGTGTTCAAACTGTCTGGAAGCACGATTCTCTTGAACTTTCACATTAATAAACGTTGAGATATAAACTTTAGAGTTTTCATCCCTTAACTCATTTCAAGGTTGAATTTGAAGAATTATTCAGATAAAAAGCTAACTTTTAAAAATAGCAGAACATTCCTGTTTTCAGCGTTTAGCTTCAATTAAATTCATTCAATTCAATTTCAGGAGTGAAGTTTGATATGTAGCCACTTCAAGTCTGAAAACAAAAACAATAATATTCCCTTTATGTTTGGTAATGTTTGATTTAGAGGTAATGCTTGCAATCAGCCTAAATAGATTGCAGAGATAGTAACCCAAATTCTCTTTATGTCTAAGAATTAAATCGGAAATCCCAAAGTCTTAAATTAGGAGAGAGAAACCAGTGTAGGGAAGCATTTGTTCATCAATGATTGTTTGATTTTATAATGGAAATTAACCCTTCCACAATCGAATCCTCTCATTAAAGTTTATTCTTGCCATAAACTACTACTCCAAGGATTTTCCGTCAAGTCAAACCTGGGACAATCTCTTGTCTTCGCTGTGGCTGAAACTTCAGAGCTAGAGTATAACCTCCAATGTGTTCTGTCTGTTCCAATCAGCTCAGGCTTCTTTTGCTTTGACACATCCAATGGCAGTATAATAAGCGAAGAATGAATTTTTGCAGGGTTATAAAAATTTTCTGTTAACTTTGTTGGGAAAAAATTCAGGCACACCTTTTTGAAAATAAAAAAAAAAACCAATCAAGTATGAACCGTACATATTTTACTCTTTTACCAGATGTGGTTTATTCAAAATTGAAATTTTTTCTACCCCCACTTTTATCAAAGGAAATTTGCTACATCTTCTCTTTTTTTAACATTTTGAAGACGTTTCTCAGCTGCTTATAGGAAGTAATTTTTAAATTAAATAATAAGCCAGTTGATAAATGGCTTTGATCGAAAAACATTTTTTGGGGCTGTCTATTTCTATAATTTCTTGTAGAAAGTAAAAAAAAAAAGTTCTTGCAAAAAGTTCAACAGTGTCCTCGGGAGCCACAAAGCACCAATTGCAATCAATTTTTGTTGAATGAAATAAACCGATAAAGTCATCATTCTTGACTTTCTGGGTTGAATGAATTTTCTGCACCAATTAGGAAATATCTGGCTGAAAAGTTTATTACTTAACCTTTTGTTGCGCATACGTTTTCTGTCTGAAATTTTAAGGGAATAGTGTCTGTAGGAACACTTTGATTTAAATCTGTTGGTCTGCTAGCACATAATTCTGAATTTCAATGGTTAAAATTTGCTAAATAAAACAGAGTGCTGCAAAAATGAAAGATCTGCCCTCTCTTATCTTGCACATTTCTCTTCTCGTAGAATATTTACCTCAAAACTTAGTTCACAAGACAAGTCTTGAGAAAACAATGATAGAAGACACCTCCTCCCCTCCCCCAAAGTTTACACCAGCGATAAAGACAGAGCTCATTAATTTTTGGTGCTCACATCACTATTTACATAATTCCTCACTTGATAAGAAATTTAATATTAACAACACGGTTAATCATTCACCTTGAATAATTTTTCTCATGCTTGTTCTTTTTTCTTTTCCTTCTCAGTTTTCCTCTTCTCTTCCTATTTTTTTCTCCTTTCTGAGGAGTGTAAAGGAGAACGCAGCATAATTTAATTTCTTTTTTTTTATCCGAAAAGAAAATTCATTGTTCAGAGGAAATGTTCCTTTTTATTATTTTGAAGCATTTTAAATACTTTTATTTCTAGTCATTGATCCGTTTAATTTTTTTTTTTGTATCTCTTTGAAGTGTTTGTTACTATTTTCTCTCTATTTTCTATCCTTCAACTTGGTCACAAAAATTGATCACGTTGTAAATTCAATCCAACCTTTTGGATAGATATTTGATTTAATCTGATCCATGAATTCTCAAATAAGAAGGATTAGAATTCATATTTCCAAACTGATTCAAAGGCCCACCAAAAAAAAAAGAAAATAATTTTAAATTATATTATCTGAGCTCTTGTGGTATTAAAGCTGTGGAATCCTACAGTATGTTCCGTGCATGAGCAGAGTCAGTTATGTCCCAAGTAACATACCATAATTTGCAAATCAGAGGAAAGCAAGAAAAGTGAAGTGACCGATCTTTTCTCAACCTTTGCAGTGTGAAAAATGTATTCTCTTTCCGTAAACGCATATTTCTATCAAAATGCAAAGATCGTTAGTAAATTGTTCAATTCTCTTTTCTCTGCATTTCTCAAACCTGTAATAGTGGCTTCTTTACTTTAAGTGGAAAATAACTGGCTCAATCACTGAAGGATGAATAGAATATTTGCCAAATAAAATGAGATAGGGCCAGTGATTGTTTCAAAGAATAATTGTCAAAACTCAGATTGACTCTATGTCTCTAAGTAGCTTTAACTGAATATCTTGGTTGAAATTAAATAATCGCTCAATGAAAGTTGCAAAATGCTAGGTCCGTAGATTGTTTTATAAGGCCATCATGTCACAGTGATTTTCTGGCTTTGAATATCTTGTTTTCTTCAGATTTATTGAGACTGCTTGGTTATTTTTTCTATTCATTGTTAACATAAATTAAAAAACAAAACAAAAATTTCTGTTTCTCTTGGCAATGTGGCTTTGTGAGCGTTTTCATAATGAGATCCGAATTTCAAATCAGTAAAAATCAATACTCGCAAGTAAGAAAAAAATCAGTGAGAAATAATTAACAATTTTTTGGATTTTCTGAACTTGGAAAAGCTCAAATGCTTACTCAGGAATGGATTACGTTAGAGAAGAAATGATATCGACGGTGTGAGTTCGTAATCATGTACCTTGTTTGCGGTGTTTAGATATCTCCGCTCTTATTTTATTATTTTTCCAAGGAGTACAAATCAACATCATTCCTCGAAGTTTTGGCAGAATTTTCCTCGCACTTAGAAGAAAAATCACGGCATTTCTTAAGAATTGCTGTTGAGTAGCTTTCTGTTTGAAAAACAAAGTATGACAGGAAGTCTATAAGGTTGCAAGCTGAGATATGTGGTTGTGTGCCTGATCATGGGAACAAGAAAATAGGCAGTGATTTTAATAAATTTGATATTAACATTATTCATCAACTATAGATTAATCGAAATCGATGAAATGTGTAATCGATATTTAAAGTATCCACCTTTTTAACTTACCTGTAGCCAGAACGAAGGATGTATGAAGGGGACATAGGAGCAGAGTAATCCTCCATGCTGCCCTCCTCCCTGAACTAAAAACATCTCTGTTTAGTCTTTTAAATTTCCTGGAAAAGGGGCAGGCCCCCCAGCCTCCTGTAGTTTTATACATGATAGTAACATGATAATGTGATCAAGACTTGCCTAAAATCATGACAATGACACCCACTGTGTTGAAAAGTTAATTCTGTCATCAGCAAACTCGTTTTGAAAAATGTACCCATCCTTGAAATTTTTAAGGTGTCAAATAGTACTCTGTTAAGTTGACGTCACTTCGTCCTGATTACATTGATATATTCCCCATTTTCTGGCCTTAATATCAATGAGATTTTGATTTTTTTGTGAGTTTCGAATCCTCAACCTCACGCATTCCTTCCTCAGATTGTAGCACTATAGTTTGCTTGTTGTAAGGTGTTTATAATTTTAATTTTCCAATTTTTATCGAATTTTTTATCTCTCTGGCTCACCAATCAATTTTTTTTTACTCCGCGTTCGTATGTTTTATCACAATTGCCTCTCCTTTATTTTTAGCAAATGCTGTGAGGCTCAGCCAGTATAAACATATTTGGAGGTATTTCTGCCAAAGGGAATTGTGTGGATTAAAACATGAGCCCTGAGACCCATAAGAATATATGCAGAACAGGGCTCACGTCATAATGCACATAGTTCTGTGTAGCAGAAAGATGTCCTTTTCTTTCAATCACTCGCTGTTATTTTTAAGCTTCCCTCTTTCTATCGTTACAAATAAGTACCATTTTCTGACTCAGCTTTTTTATGTTGTACAATCTAATCTAAGCACGCCATAGTTTTGCCTCTGCCGAACTGATTCTTTTTAATCGTCGTTGATTTTCATTCTCATTGCTCTTTTTTTATTACCCCTGAACATTCTGCGTAGAATTGTTACATTATCATTTATCAGTAGACCATTGTTTTCAACAATTGTAATTTTTTTCTGTTACTTAGGTACTTACGTATCTAAATATTTCTTGACACTAATGACTAACGACCTAAATGATACATTTTTCTCCAAGTTTCAAAAACGATTTAGCTTTGAAACCCTCTTTATTTTTAAACTCTTTTCTTGTTGGTAAAAACAATTTACAGCAAAAAAGTCTGGCTGCAATTATTTTTTTTATGTATGACTCTTTCTTTCTTTTTTTTAAGTCCGAGGCCTGTTTCTCAATTAGTGAATGATCCCTTTGTTCCCCTTGATTTTGTTTTTGTCACAAAAAAAGGCCATGAAATTTTAAAATTTCATTTTTAATTTTATCTCTACCGTTTTGTTAATGCATTAAAATAAAATGTCCAATGAAGGTCAATCTTTTGGATTAATCAGTCGTTCTGTGATCATAAAATTTTAGGATGCCACTTTCATTGAAAAAAGTTTCAGTGAAAAAAAAAAAATGTTAAAGGTATTAAGGTATTTGAAAAGATGAACCTCTATGAGTTTGCTCATAATCTTTTCAGCATTCGTCTTCACATAATTTTAATTTTCACTCTATAAACACTGTCAACTTGTTCCTTCGAACTGTTTCCAAGATTTCCATCGGATTGAATTTATATTTGCAAGTGTGATAATTTTTTACCATGTATGTAATGCCGAAATTGACATAGATAAAACTGAGAAAATTAGAATTCCAAGCTTGTCAAATAGTATGTGAGAAAGCAGCGCTATTGCGTTTCAAATTAGGTATATCAAATCTCCTCATACGGTATCAATCTTCTGATCAGATGATGCTTAGCTCATTTCACAAACTGTAAATCTAACAACCCTCCTCCCCCCGCCCTATTTCTCCTAAGTGTTCCCTTATTGTTGGTGTTCTCCTTGTTTTGAATAACGTCGATGTGATCTTAATAATTGTTTAATCGTTCGACAACTTCAATAAAATAATTTTTTTACGCTCTAAAAAGAATTTTACTCTCTTCCTAACAAGTATACCCTTTTATTAATAATTACCAAGCATTTTCCATCTGACCATGGTTAACCATGATTCGTTTTGACTGGGTTGGTGGGTATTATGAAAAAAAAAGGAAAGATGTAGGATAAAACAGAAAGGAAGAAGGAAAAAGGTGAAGAGAGTCAAGACAAAGGAACGTGCTTAACTAGATAACCATTCTGAGCTTGCAGGCACCTTTCAAGTCGATGTAAATTCTTAGATTTTAGTTTTAAAAATGTAGGCCCCTAGACTATGTACCTGTCACTAAAATTTAGCCCACCTCCATTGCTGCTCTTCGGTGGAGTTTTCTGTTTAGAACTTTAACAGAAACAGAATTAATTGGAAAATGGTACAGAAGTTCCGAAAGTTGCAGCTTCATCTTCAATATTTGTTTAGTCTGCCTCTTGGATGTCAGGTCGGGCGCCTTGGTTGCCAAGGGGGGCAGCCACTGAGGGTTGGGCCTCTTGGATTCCAAGGGGAGCACCCCTGGGGGTTTGGTTTCTTGAATGTCAGGTGGAGCCACCCCGGAGACTGGGTGAATGCCAAGTGGGGCACCCTGCACCTCCTGAGATGTTAAAAGCACGTATCACACTGCTGAAACTCTTACCCTGTTGCCGGTATCCATGATTTGCCTTCAATTGGCCGGCTATGCAAAATTACTGTCGCGACGCACGAATTGTGGTATCAGAATTTCGCATTTAGATTACATAGTGGGTTGAAGGCGCTCTTCTGTATCGTATCAAAGTGGACCTGTACAACGATGTTAACCAGAAATGTTCAGAATTTTGGAGTCTTAATCGAGCCGTAATTTTAAGAAAGGCCCGTAGAACATAATTGGACTTTTTCACATAAGATTTTCTTTTTCTGTTCTTCCTACTTCAAAAAAGAGTGTCCAACCGCTCGGTTCGAATTGTGGTATTATACATTGTGGTTTATACATTCGGGCAGTCAAAATATAGAAATTTTCGATCGTGAGTGAAAAAATCGATTGATGCGACAAATCGAACTGCATAAAATCGATGCGAGATAATGGATTTTTCGAGAAAATCGATTAAAAATCCGCAAACATCAGTCTCAAATTGATGACTCTAGCGGAAGAATTCGAGATGCTAGAACGACCTTGAGTATAACTATCAATGGAGCGGTGATGGAGCGTGGTTGTCGGGGAGAAGGGGGGAAGAAGGGCAATGGCGAGGAGATATCGTTGGCAATTCTGGCGAGTCTGAATCCGATAATTGGATTTTAAGCGGCGCTGAAATGCAGCTCCCCGAGCAGGGAACATTCGTAAGAGAGGAAAGGCGTGAAAGCCCGTCAAAGCTCAGCAAATGGCTATTACATTAGTCGTCATGCCGCCAAGTCGAGGGGAGCAGGCAATGATGTCAGATCTCATATTGCCTAGTCCGATTTTTTTGTTCCGTCCGTGGGCAGGTCAGCCCCGTTACCTAGTCCACGAATTGCCCATTTTGTCAACTGCGGACTGATTATAGAAATTGATAGACAAAGAAGAAATAGGGAGTATGAAGCGATCCTATATTGGTTTGAATGGGTGGTTCCTATAGACTAAGGGAGAAAATGATGGACTAACTATCGGATCTCTTGTGGGTTGCTGTTAGTTAGTCTATTACCTACCTCGTTTCTCAATTGCAATCACCCGCTTCCACCAATAGGACCCTTCCATTTCTTTTTTGCCTTCTTTGTCTATAGCTTTGTCTATCAATTTCAAAAATTGGCTTGCAGGGCAGCCAGTCCCCGGATTGGCCGATCAAAAGGAAAAAAATTACGTCAACGCACTGGGCCGGTGGTTATAATTTTAAATGATATCCATACGCTAATCCACGAACGTCTCTTGCACTGACCGATTTCCGACGAATTATTCGCGAGCTCTTGAACGAAACTTGAAATTATCAAAACAATTTTCAGACTGTGTAAATAACAATATAGGTACAATATAATTCGTTTTTTCCTGGAAAGTTTTAGTACAAAACGAGTTTTTTTTTTTTTTTTTTTTTTTTTTTTTTTTTTTTTTTTTTTTTTAATTTTTCTTAATATTTTCATTATTTTGGATGTGCGTGTTGCATACTCAAAACTTTGAGGCGTTACCTCAGTACGAAGACTAGACTGATTGTAAGCTGACTCTAGCGCCTTGATGCAACTATTCGTGTTCCACGGATGTGCGTGTTGCATGATCAAAATTGAAGGCATTTTCGCTCTCACTTCTTTAGAGATGCATGAATCTTGTCAGTTGTTGCACTTTAATGACAAAGTATCTATGCAGGGGAGCATTATCAGCTAGTGACACGAGAGACAAGACCGAGGTGTCCACGGCCAATAATTAACTGGTCATTTTTCAAAAGGCTTAAGGTGATTCGACGGACACCATTTTTGTGTGTCAGAGCGACGAGCGATACATCGCATCGATCCATAATTTCAGTTACTTGTCCATTTTTTCGAATTTTGAGATCCCACTTCAGTTGTCATGAGACTAAAGAATTCATGTACCAAATTTTACAAAGAAATTTAACGTGATAAAGGCAGGGTGTTTTTAAAGGAGAAATATCGCATTCGACACTGACATCGAAACTGCACTCGAATGGGATATTTTTCCTCTAAAAAAAGCATTCCATTATTACGTTGAATTTCTTCGTCAAATTTGGTACATGAATTCTTTAGTCTCATGACAACAGAAGTGCGATCTCAAGATTCGAAAAACATGACAAGTAGCTAACATTATGGAACGATGCGATATATTGCACGTCGCTTTGACAAGAAAAATGGCGTCCGTCGAATCACGTTAAGCACTAGAAAGGAATTTTATTAACCTTATTTGGATATCGGTTTGTAAAAAAAAAACTCCCTATTTTTTTATTAAAAACCCCTAAAAGAAATTGAAAAAAATAATTGTAAACTTGATCAGCGTAACTAGTAAATTTTTATGAATTACACTAGTTTTTTATTTTGATTTTTTTTTATTCTCATTAAAAATCTCGCGAATTATTAATCAGAAATCTGTCAGTGAGAGACATTCGTCGGTTAGCATATATGGATTGTGGCTGATATTACCAATCGGCTCATGGGCGTAATTTCCAGGCCTTAGATTGGTCATTCCGCGAGCTGGCAGCCAGCTCGCGGACTGGACAAGAACATCAGCCAGTTCGAGGAATTATCAGCGATGGCCCGCTCACGGACGGGGTAAAAAATGTGCCTGGTCCCTGGACTGGGAAATTTTGCCAATTACGAGGCGTAACGTGTGGTATCGTCGTGAAATGACAGGCTCACTCGAGACAAATTCAAAGAATAGCTTTTTACTGATCAGGAAGAGGTTACTTTAACGCCATGTCAGTTCGCCTTCAAGTCTTAGTGTAGGCAACACAGGCTCCCATGCGATCGAATAATGGTATCATCCTCCATATTCAAATCGCCACCGTCGAAGCACTCGTTGTAATCATGGCAGCATAAGTAAAGGGTGGAAGGAGAAGGAAAAAGAAGGAAATGAAAGGAGAAAGGAGAAGAAAAGGGGAAGGAAAAGAGCAAGAATAAGAAGGAAAGAGAAAAAAGAAGGATGGAGAATGTTAAAAGAGAACATGAGGTAGGAAACGCTGGAAAAAAAGTCGCATGGATCTAGAGCCCAGACTCTCGATAACATTGACAAGGAAGAGTACTCTTGATTTAATCCGAGTTTTCCTCTTAAATTTGGGCGGATCTCCTTTTGATTCAAGCAAACAATCCGTTTGAATCAAGAGTATTTTTTCTTGTCAATGTTTTTAAGAGTCTGGGCTCTAGATCCAAGTGACTTTTTTTCCAGTGAAGGATAAGAAAATCAAGAAAAAAAGAAAGAGAGAAGAAGATGAATTGAAGAGGAAAAAAGGAAAGAAGAGGAAGAAGATGAAGAAAAAATGAAGGAAATGGAGGGAAGAGAAATCGGATGTATCAGATGGGAGAAGAAAGAAGATTTGATAAAGAGGAAGAAGTGGAATAGTGGTGTCATCGTGCAATGTTACGCTTCCTCAGAACATATAAAAAATAGCTTCCTACAATGTCAGTTCGCCTTCAATTTCAATATAAGCAACACACGCCACACACCTCTAGCATGCTTATCTACTTAGGGCGTGTCTGAGGTAAATGATACCCTAGCCGATGGGAGTTATTTGAACTTTTTGTGGCAATTCGATGGGGGCTTTTCCTTGGGACTTTCCGCGGAGCACCTTAGGTGGCTCGCCAATTGGACGTATTTCTGCTAAAAAGAACTATGTTACACGTAATCCCAATGCACATAGTTCCTTTTAGCATAAATAATAATATGTTCAATTATGGTAATGATCCTTAAAGGCTTTTATTCTAATGCAAGTAAAATGGGAGGGGGCGGAAAATTTCATTTCCGATAAAATTACGATTTTTTGTATTTTTTTATGAAAAAAAATCGTGTCAGATGTTGAGCAAAAAATCGTAGTAGTGTTCCTGTTACCTACGGTATTACTGCAATATATCGCAACATCTCAGTTCGAAAATTCCACTCGGGATCGTGAATATCCTCGTTCAAAGTGGCAAGGCTGAGCGAGGCCGGTTCCAGGGGATGTGGGTTGGCGGCGTCGTTGGCTGTGGCATAGTTATTCCGTTTTCATGGCTCCCCGAGGACTCCTTTGCTCCACCGCCCCCGCCCTCCCTCCCCTCTCCCCTCCCCGCCCTCCTGCTCCAGTGCAGATTTATAGCTCGGCTCACTCACGTCACATCTTGAGGCCCCCCTCCGCCGGAGAAAAAACTCACTCTGTCAACCGGAATCTTGCTCTCGATCTCGCTATGAGTCCCAGATGTTGAAATTAAAGCTCTGCTTTCGTACAGAACTTCAGTTTCAAGAGCATTGCGATGGTTTAACTTCAAAACAACGTATCTCCTCACGGATAAAAAAAAAGCACGAGTTTGTTGTGTGATATGGACGAATTAAATGTGGTAGTACACGAATTAATCGTGGTCGTACC